AGCGAAATGCTTTGTGCATACAAAAGAAATTTTATCAAAATGGTTAATAACCATTCAAAAGATCATGATTTATGTACGTACGTATATGCCATATTAGATTTTAAAGAAAATTTAGAATATTTATGTAATAACGCTTGTCATTATTAAGATGAGTGTGCTTTTTGTTTTAATTCTATTTTTGATTGAGCAATGGTATAAATTTCTTTTTTGAATTTAAGTTATAACTTATTTTGCTGCTTTCTGCGTAGTATTGCATAAAGCAGACAATCATATGTACGTTTAAATTTATAGGTTCAATGTTAAAAAAATCAGTAATCTAATTCGAAAAGGTTATTTTACAATCATACTTAAGCCTGAAGACGCTAGATTGTGATGAAATGTCTTTTGTTTGAGATATTTCTTTCTTTTGTTGAGAATAACTTACTAGAGTAACAAGAAAACATGATAATAAGTGGCACTATGAACATAATAATCATAATTTAAAAGACGTGCATACAATTACATCTCAATATAGTATGTAGAATCAAATTGGTTAGAGAGATAACTAACAGTTAACGTACGTATGTACATCATTATGCATGATTATAATTATACGAATAGCATATTTGTTTTTGGTATAAAATGTCTAATGCTAATTTAGAATAAAGACAATGTAGATAATAAAATTAGCAATAGCGCTAACTGTAAAGTATTTGGTTATTGAGTTGATATCGATGTTGGATTGATCGATTAAGCATGATGCATATATTGTAATAGTCTCTTTTAAATTACACGTTCAACATCTTAATATTCATTTGTGTTTGTTTTCTAATTTATCATACTAATGTGATTTTAATTTTTATCAATAGCGTTTGTTTAGTGATTTATTGTACTACAATAATCATGCTTATCATGATGGGAATAATTGTTTTTATAATTAATTTATCATGCTAGAATGATCATGCTTATAATTAAAATATAAACCTTAAATATGGCACTTTTTGAATAAAATCTTCTACAAAAAATAGTTTTTTTTAAAAATTTTACCACTTAATCAACAGTCATGTCAAACTGCTTAAATCGTCTAAATAAAACTGAATTAGAAACTTCTGAGCTAGGAGATTATCCCAAAGCCCCACAATTACTTATAAAAAAAAAATATATATATAGCACAATGGTCATTTAAATATTTTATAGAAGCAGAAGAGTTTTATCTAGATGTTTCTCAACTTTGCTATATATTGCCTTCTAATAAGTATCTAATCTCTGATAATTATTCTGTGAGAACCAGCTAGAGACGTGATAAAAATCAGCAAACCGTTCAGTATAAAATAATATATAAAAATGGAAGCCCAGAATTTTAAATTTGATTTGGTGACTTTCTTGAATATGAAGTTAAATCATGTATATCTGCTTTCATGGCTGCAACAAATTATGGAAAGACTATAAATAAAATGAGTTGATTATCTGGACCATTGTTGTTTGGATTACAGCTCCAGGTATTTAGAAAATCTTGAAATAGACAATATTTAATTAATTCGGCAAATCATAATAAGTGTACGAGACAAAATTTAATTAAACTTGCAGATCATTGTTCTGAATCAGCGCTTGATAAGCGTGCAAAAGATGTTGCAGTAATGATTAAAAAAACATTTATTCAAAATTCTGTGTTTAAATATTATGAAAAAGACTCTATTTTATTAAAGTCATTTGAATATACTGTTAATAGCCAGAATTATTATCTTAGCTTTGAAACAGATAATGTACAAAAAAGAGTATGATATTTTAAATATAGTTGAAATAATGGATTCGAATTATATTTCTCGTGATGCTTATTGAAGTTTAGCTGCAATAGATTATCACTTACCATGTGAGCACCTTGTTGTAATTAAATGAAATAATTTAACCCAAAGAATGACTAAAGACATTCTAATTAAACTTGTTGATATAAACACGAAAATAGATAGCTTGAAAATTGTTAAGATAATGTTGAAGACGTTGAAGAAGATATTGAAGAAGGGCCTAATAATATAGATTTTAATAAAGTTCTAAACTTAATGAGTGTTGGTGGATATCATGATCTTTTGAATGGTTATTAACCATTTTGATAAAATTTCTTTTGTATGCACAAAGCATTTCGCTATAGACGAGTATACAATTTCAGAAGTTTTTTATTAAGCAATAAAAAATTTCTGAGATCGTATAAGTCTGATACTCTAATCACAAATGGGTCCTTCTATAGCAAATCGGGCTTAGAGACAAAATTGAGATTTTTATTAAATAGTATTCACAGGTACGCGAATTATTCATAGTAAAAATTTCAGTGTAGGTTGATATATTATAATTTGGTACAGTTCTATACGCAGTAATTTTACATATGCATGTTAGAATGCTACTATTGCTACAACTATCGCTACTAAGGTTAAAATTATATCAAAAACACATATTAGTATAATGTATGTATATTCGTGCTAAACTATATTACATATATGTTTCTAAGCCCCGATTTAATGTAGAAGGACCCAAATATAATCAGAACAATTGTTGGTGAGCGATTATTTTTGTAAATAAAGAAAAATTTATTGACAAATCGCATATTCACATGAATTGATAGTACATACAATAACAATCGATTTTATTAAAGCCAGTATCTTTATATAAATTTAGATTTGTTGATTAATCATACAGTATCTTTACAACATCCACTCAAAGTATTTTTTTTTTTTAATAACTTACATTTAGTTAAAATGCCACCTAGACGTTACAATCCCAAGAAAAAAACACTTAAACAACCCAATATTCAATATAAACAACAATCCAAGATTATTCAATATAGACAACCCAACATTCAATATAGGCAACAATCCAATATTCAAAATAGCCGAAATATAGAAGAAGAGAAAGTGGTGTTTAATGAATTTTTTGAAGAAACAGAATTTGAAAAAGGTCTGGTATCACTTTTCAAACGAGACCAGACGTCAAAGGCACCCAATATTATAGACCAGACACCAAAGGCACCCGATATTATAGACCAGATGCCAATGGCACCCAATATTATAGACCAGAGATAATTGAAATTACAGAACCAGAGACAACTGAGATTACGGATTATTGGAAAAATCAAATAAACTTGAATTTAATATTATTGTAAAGAATACTGTGTTTTGTGAAATAATATTACCCTCTTAGTATAATATCCTTGCTTCCTTTTTTAATAATCCTGATGTAAAAGATTCGATTATAATAATATTAATCAAATGTGAACTAACTTACATGTAGTCTTTAATACTTGAATTTTGTTTCTCTTGAAATTTTCGGCCATGTAATAACAAAGATGTTGATCAATTCGAAGGATTGAAAAAAAGAGTAAAGAATGTGTTAAAAGCTTAGAATGACAAAAGCAATTTCTATACACAATGTGAACACTTTAAGTCTTTTATAAAGAACTTAAATATTATCAAATGAAAAAAATTATCTATGAATATTGATTATTACAAACGTGGTTATCTTTCACCCATAATTTTTCAAAAAAAGTTACTGAAAATCCATTGTCAACTTGTTGAATAATAAACAATCAGCAAAAAAAATCCATTAAATCACCATTGTATTTTGTTGCTTTCCACTTGTCCTTCTGTGAGCTATTATTCTCTGAAATAATATGACTGACACCAAGTAGAAGAATGGTTAAATCGATACAGACTCTAAATTATTTTTTTTATGACTAACTTTATTAAATACCTGAAGTTGGGTTAAGCGAGATCAAAACTATAGGTGCAAGAGATTCATGTAACTGGGTTAGCTATTGTAAATGTGCAACATGTCTATATAACCGTAACATAGGTAAAAAGAATAGTAACGATAAATGAGCGTTTATGCATTTTGGCGCAGCACATAAATTTTTTATAACAAGCATAATGTCAAACGACCTGACCCTCCTATAAAAATTTTTGGGGTACTACGTCCACAGTTGCATGTTCCCGCATGATTCCGCATATTCGCCCATATGTCCTGATTGGTTGAAGCTTTGTGGCACATAAATGGCTAATCCCCCTTTGTTATCAACCCCCGCATATATCAACCAAATCATCCGATTCAAACAGGTTGATATTAACGGTATAGCAAAGAATTTTTTTTTTGCTGGAATATCAAAGGTAGTTTCATAAACGATATTACCATTTTTTAAAAAAAATCTTTATTTTTATACAAACTAATTTGCACATTACACCTGATTCTGCAAATTTATTGGCTAGTTACACACCGGTAATGATCACTGCCTGTGAAATTCTAAATTTTATATTGAAATAAAAACCAATATTTAGCCGTTGTCAAAACATTATTTTTTACAAAATGATATCGAAATTTTTCCGGGTCCCTGCTAGGGCAAGATGGCAAGCCACAGAATATCACGTATCCGTATAATTTTGGTGGCGATACTGGAAAGATTTACTTCTGCCACGACTAACGCTAATCTAATAAAGTGGCAGCCCATGCACTGGGTGGATCCATAAATTTACCCGTATTTTGCTGTCCCGTACCGCATAAAAAATTTGTGTATGTGAATATTAAAAAAAACTGATGATAAGAACGTTTAAACCCTTCACTTAATTATCTTTATTATATACTATGCAATTGTAAGTTCCAAGAAAAGTGCATAACGATAAAGAAAAAAAAGTGTATCAATAAAATATAGAATCAAATATCTATCGAACCCGTATTTATTCATGCATATTGAATTTCCAATGTCAAAATCAAAACTGCTACTTTATCCGTTAATAAAATCGTATAACTGCGTAATTATGAACCCAAATCTAGTTTATTTTGCAGTTTTTCTCGTGTTTCTATCGATTGCAATCGTTGTGGATATGGTAGTAATTGTTTTTGTATATGCTTGATTGATAAAGTAACATCATAATAATACTACATTCGTCCCTCACAATAGAGTTAATCTCACTATTAGCAACACCATATAATAAATAGCTTTAAATACAACTAATATATTTAAAGTATTAAAAAGAAAAACTTTAGTTTCAGCAATTTTCACCATATTTTTGTATATAAAGTTTGTTACAACCAGAGCTTACTATTAGAGTTTACTAATTTGCTTAGTCGTTTAAAGCATGTTAATAAAATCTTAAGCTACGAACTACTTCAGAATCGTCTTTAATGTTGAATATTTAAGAAATCCATTGTCGGGAAATTGTTAATCATTCTAAATGTACAGTACATAGAGGCAGTGAGATATAGTGAGCAAATATCAATTTGATACATTAGGATGAGTGCGAAGAGATACACTGAATATTCTGTTAGAAAAATTCATAGTCAATAAACAACGATAATATATTTTATACTAGATAATTGGAATTACATTCACAAGCATAAAATAAATACGGCTAAGAGAGTTAAGCACGAGAAAAGAATGGGCAGACAAAAACTTCGGTGTTTTAGGGGTTTTATTACAAAAAGAACTCTATATATTTGCACATCTCACTAAAGTAATGGATAAAAAAACAATTGATAATTCTTTATCGTCTTTTACCACCAGGAGGGTAGCTTTTAGGTTTAACATAAACATGACATTTATGTGCATGGCGAAACCAAAGCATAGAATTTTTTTTCTTGCTGGTTGCAATTGGAACCCACTGACCACATTGATGACACAAACCTTCAGTACAATCACCAGAGTCGAATTTTCGCGTTTCGACAGGTGGAACAAACATTTTACCAGATACAGAAGAAATTCCATGAAAAAATTGTTTATGGTACCTTTTGGATTATAGAATAATTAGTTTCAATGATTTTTCATTGGGACATAGATATTGTGTACTAACCAATATGCGCTGTTTTTCAGTTGTAGCCATTTTCCCGGTTTACAATCATCACAAAATCCTTCCTTGGAATGACCAGAATACCTTACCCATTGTGGTGTGTACATATCACCTGGATATTTCAATTTTTGCCTGCGGGGTTGTGCATCGGGTCTTGGGTCATTAAGGTCTACAGGTGGTTCAGGTGTCTCCGGGACAATATCATTCAAGTCAATTCTTGGTTGAAATTTATAAGTTTCATATTTTGCTTGAAATTGTTTGAAAGTGTCTTGTTCATATTCAACTGTAGACTCCAAAGACAACAGCATGACCGGAGAGTTATTGGGTGTAATATTTGCCTTAGCACGTTTGCGAAATGAGCTAGCTGGTTGTTGAACATTGGAAATTGTAGGTAGAGCATACGGCTTGTTAAGTTCATTTAACGAGAGATCTGTGAACAATTCTTCTTGCACAGTCCTCTTATGAGATTGTGTTTGAGTAAACAAACTTTGTGAGGATATTTGATGCAAAGAAGTTGGTAACTGCAAGGAATGATTAGGCGAACTGGCAATATGACTATTCCACCGATAAACCGGAACTGTTGCACTTTCATCCGAGGATGATGGAAATGGCATGAGAGAATTAGAGAGCTGAGGATCGTTTGCCACATTCCAAGAAAACTGCATGACTTCGGTTCCAATAGATGATGAATTTGTATATTCGCATGCCTCCTTGCAGCAAGGATCGTTACAACACATCATAGATTGAAAATGATGACGTGAAGGTTCCATAAACGAAGGAACAGAAGGGTAAGGATTCGATGTTTGTTTTATTCCTAAGGGTGAAAACCTTTGTTCATGAATTTCGTCGCTACAATCGTTTATACTATCTGGATTGTAATGTTCAAACAGCATCTTTCAGACTAAAAATCATTTAATTATAAATATGTTAAATACTTGAAGTGCGTTCGATAGATAACTTGGATTTAATTTTTAATATCAAGCACAAAAATATAAAGTTGAAAATTTTCCGACAGTCCTGGAGATTTTTTTAGCAAGGAAATCCACGTCCTGCAACGAAACAAATATTGCACCTCTGTGTAACTAACCTTATTGAAAATACAAACGCTGCAGTAAAAATAAAAAATACCCAATATGCTGATGCAGATATAAATTTTTTGAGAAAAAAATACGTTTATCAAGTGAGGAAAGAAGAAAAGCGCAATGTTTTATTTTTCCGATCGATTGATCACATAAGATCTTACTCGTTATTCATATTACTAATTCTTTATAGATTTGAATCAAAAATATAATCAATCTTTGATGATATCATTTATACTCAAAGCTTTTTGTTAGTGATTTGATAGAATCAAAACTTCATAACAGAATACTGAAATAACGTGATATTTAGTTTTACAGGTATTTTTGTTATATAAACAAACTTTATGTTGCACATGTTTATCACGTGACCGCCGTTTTAGGGTTTCGGAATAAATTTTGCGATCCAAATTTTAAACTATTATAATTTAATTTTTTGATGCCCAAATTTCTTTAATAATTTAAACAAATTGTATATATTTTATGAAGTAAATTTATTTATTATTTGATAAACTTTATTTTGAAATTAATAAATTTGTAAAATTAGATATAATATAGGTAAGTTAATAGAACAAACAAATTGGTTTTAAATAAAAGTTTTTTTTTACCTTTAGCTGGTTATGCTGATACTTGATTAAATATGCTAAATTTCTTGTACAAACAATTTATTTAAGTTCAATCTAATATTAAAGTTTAATTTTATCTAGTTATCTTGTTAAGTACTTATTTATAACTTGTTATATTATTATTCTAAAACATGTGGTAACAACAACTCATCTTGATTTTTATTTTATAATAGAGTATTGCCAAACTAATACTATCTTTTATAAACAAAGTTTGCTATTTACTACTACTAGTGATTATTACTGGTATATAATTAGCCAATTAATTTGCAGAATTAGATATAATATATAGATTAGTTTTATATAACAAAAACAAAGAATTTTTTAAAAAATCAATCATATTTCAAAATTTTGTTTATGAAATTACCTTTTGGGCTCTAACAAAAAAATTTCTTGCAAAGGTTTCATCACAATATTAAATTAATCACTATCTTATATAAATTAAATGCTATTATTAAATAAATATTTGTTAATAATATTTTTTAA